AGCATTTCTGTCGATATGCAGATGTAGAAGACATCCTGAACAGGACTATTTCTGGGGATGAATCATGGGTGCATCACTACCAGCCCGAATCAAAGTGCGCTTCAATGCAATGGAAACATCCTTCGTCACCTTGTGTTAAAAATGTCAAGGTTACGTCACCAGCAGGGAAGGTTATGCTGACAATGTGCTCAGATTATCAAGAAGGGCTTTTATTTTAACCAATAAAAAAAAAAAAAGGTGACAATGTGAATGCTGATTCATACTGTAAGGTTCTATCGATGCTTCACGATGCAATTCCAAGAAAATGTCCAGGCCTGCTGGCTAGAGGAGTAATGCTCCTTTGTGACAATGCCAGATCACATACGGCTCAGTTAACTCAGGAGAGAATTAACCATCTAGGGTGGGAACTTCTGGAACATCCAGCTTTTAGCCCCGACTTAGCCGTAAGCGATTTCCACCTTTTTGGTCCACTAAAAACCCACCTTGGCGGCAGACATTTCGTAAAAGACACAGAAGTTGAATGTGAAGCGAAAATATGGTTTAGAAGAAAAGAGCAGGCAGTTCTATGCAGCAGGTTTGGGAGGACTGATAAAACGGTGGGGCAAGTGCATCAGTGTTGGTGGAAATTATGTAGAAATATGAAGGTGCAGTGTATGTGTAAAAATAAATAGTTTCCAAGTTGTTATCGTCCTTAGTTAAACAAACATTTGTGACTTACTTATTGACTTCCCCTCATATAACAGGACTAGAATGAGGAGGTAAATACAACATAAAATGCAATGTTGTCTTTAGCACTTCTTGTCATCAGTTTGAATGCATTATTCATTTAAAGTTCATCTTTATCGCACTTCGGACATGAGCATAAGTGCTCCGATATCCTCCTGAGTATGTCTCCAAGAGTTTTCAACAACTCCCAATCTGTTCTGGCTAATGTAATGACGGGTAGCTCCCTCATGGTGTTCCTGTCTCACGGCTTCAACTGCTACACCCAGGGAATGCAGTCCAGTCAGTTAAAAAATAATTTTCGTGAAACCAAAAGCCTTACAGAGTTTAGTCTCTTGTATGGTATTGATGATGTCTCTCAATAATTTTGTTTTAGCTCCAAGATAATACCATGCATAAGTTCAGGGACCCCATTTAAGGGTGGGGGATGGGGGGGGGGGGGGGGGGGGCAGAATAGCCAAACTGCTCCTCAGACAATCTGTCATAAAAGGCGACTAAGTCAGAATTTGCTAAAATCAGATGTGCTAGGTCGAAATGTGCAGATATCACAGCCTAGCTGTAAATAACATAATGTGCCAACCACCATTCTAAGGGTGAAGGAGGACAAAGATAAAGAAGCTAGATCACTTTTTTTAAAAACTGTTTTTCAAGCATAGCATGATAAATGATTATAACTTTTCGGTTTGGGAATGGAGGTGGAGGCAGTCAATGCCGCCTTCCACTGGCTTGAGAATCAGCTGTACACACACATCATGATTGTGACTAACTCACAGAGCATGTTGAAAAATGTGGAGAGAAGCATACTCTGTGCTGAGCAGCAAGCATCGCTTCAGAGGTCCCGGGTTGTCCTTTGGATATCTTTCTCCAATTGATGCCAGTGTGTTGGGAAATGAGCAGGCAGATAGACTGGCTGATTCTGCACCACTGGTGGTAAACTGATTTATGACACACTAGATGTTGTGAAGGCCCTTTGGGAGCAAGTGAACAGTTCGGAGGCACAGATAGATCATTATGGTCTGACAAGAATGGCGCTGCAGGGAGTTATTACTGGATCTGGCCGCAGATCAATACTCAAAGGCGAGACGGATATACAATCAGACAGTTACTGGCACCAGCAGGACTGGAAGTCTTCGCTTGCTGCTGACGATGCGGACAGAGTGCTTATGGGAGTGTCCTGAGTGCTATGATGTCCTAATTCAACATTCAATCCGAACATACAACAGAAATCTGACAAAATAATTTAACATGATAAGGACAAAGTCGATGCTGACCTGCTGCAAACATAGGCCCCACTGCATCATTCAATTAATCAGAATCTGCCTATACAGTGAAGGTTGACTTTATAAGTTCTAAACACATGCGATTCTAGTTAATGTCTCCTTTTCTATGACTGAATATTTACTTTTAAAAAAACAACAAAACAGCTCATTTACAAAGTATTCACATTTTCTTTCCCCCCACAAAAAAATTGTCGAGGCATCAAAATATCATGTACCCACAAAAAAGACCCTGACTACAACTAATGAGTGGAAGATCGTAACAACAGAGATGAGAATGCATTAGGAGAGCTGCCTTTGTGACAAGAAGAGATAAAATCAGAAATGAAGAAATTACAAGAAAACTAGGACTGAAACCAGTCATATAATTCATTAAAGAACAACAAGTGAGATGGTTTGGCCACCTGATGAGTATGCCCTGGTACCAACTGCCACAGAGAGCCACGCTGAAGAAATATAATGAACACAGAGCAAGGGGAAGACCACGCAAGAGATGGATCAATACCATCAGGAGCAATCTAATAGAAGTGAACACCAACTTGTACAATGCACTGGAAAAAGTGCACAAGCGATCCTTACATGTCCCCTAACACCTCGCTGAGGTAAATAGTGGAAGAGAAGAAGAATAAGAATAAGACACACACAAACGCAGCAGATAAACGCTCTACAGGTGGTGCCAACTTTGTCAGACATGGATGATCCTAGAAAAAAAACTAAATGCACAATTACAACATGCAAGATAAGATAAAAAAGAAATGCGGTGGGGAAAAACAAGAAGAGCCAGTGTCACCAACGAAGAACTGAGAAAATTAGCAGACATAATACCGGTAAATGATTTCACAGAACATCAAAGAATCAAATGGTTTGGTCATAATAGAAGAAAATCAGCCAGCAGCTAGAATGTACTGCATGAGAACAGCAGGCTGAAAGGCAAGAGGCAGACTAAGAAAGACATGGGTGGAGGGAGTGAAAGAGACACTACAGATATGCAGCTTGACATTAACACAAGCTAGGCAACTAGCAAATAACATATATACATATGTATGCATGCAAAAATGTCCCTCCCACAACCCACCCACATGCATGCATGCCCACTCTCTCTCTCTCTCTCTCTCTCTCTGATGGTAATTAAATAAACTAGTAGGTGGCAACATACGGATGTGAGTCTTAAACTATCTCCCAGTCCTTAAGAAAGAGAATAGGGGCTTTTGAGCTGAAATGCTATAGAGAGATTCTCAGAATATCTTGGACAAAGAAGATAAGAAATACTGACATCTTAAAAGATCTGAACATCAAGGAAGATTGGCTAATAAACAGCATCCTTTCTCGAAAGCTGAAATATTTTGGTCATATCAAGCGCCACGACGGATTGGAAAAAATTATAGCAGAAGGCATGGTACCAGGAAGGAAGCGCAGAGGTGGACCAATATGAAGATGGACACAGGATATAAGTGACTCCTTGAGTGTGGAAGTTCATGGGGCGGGAGAACTGGTGAGAGACCAAGTTTCTTTCAGGCAGACTTTGATGAGAGTGAAAAGGACCTACTACATGATGATGATGAGTAGTATGTCTCTTGAAAACTAGAGCCAGTCAACATTTCTTCATGTAATTTTCATTTTCAGCACACCAAAATTAGTGAAGATCAGCTTTTTCCAATTCTGGTACAAATAAGTTTTGAAAATTGGTTCACTAGTGTTATCCAAAAGAGATTAAAAAACATGTGACAGCAATCAAGGTAGTATCCAGAAACTAATCAACCCAACTGTGACTAATCAAGAAGCTTAACAAAGATGGCAAGAAGAGGACCAAACAAACAAACAAACAAACAAACAAACAAGCAAGCAAGAATGTAATCAGGCATGCATGCATACACAGTAACAATTGGATGTTTTGCAAGCATATTTATATTTAAAAAAAACGCACACACAAAAACAATAGGAAGAGTATCCTGGCCACTGTTCAGGTACATGAAGAGTTATGTAACAGATAAAACATTTGATTATGAACATGAAGCCAAGAGAACAGTATATGGAAGCAAAATATGGAGACCCACACCAAAGACAAAAGTGTGCCCTCCAGAAAAATACAAAAATGTTCATTGTACCAATTTTGTGTATATAAAAATATCTCAATAAAGTCAGTAAAAAACAGATCATAAATGTGTATACAATAATATTGTTATACAAAAATACCAGTTTGATTATCTGTACGATGCATGCGGGGGGAATACTTATGGTGAAAAAAAAGCATATACAAATTCATTTAAGATGAAAGCAGTGTAGAGTTCTGTTTAAAATGCATATAAAAATTACAGCTCAAAATATACCATATATAATATTTAAATAACACATACACACACATATACATATATCTAAAACACAAAATTTACAACATATCTTTAAGTAACCATATAAACATTACAGTTAAATATATAATGTATATATAACACAAACACAATTCATAGCCCACACACAAAACACGTTCTGATTCAATTTGTCAAACCACTAGCAATTTGTGTGGGTTCCATGACTTAGAAGTTAGTGACTGCACTTATCAAAGCCATGATTCTCAAGAAGATTATCATATTATGGACAGACCAAAGCAAGTCATTCTGCAACAGTTGGCAAACCAAGGATGTATCCCATCCAGAATGACCCGCATAGCTGCGTTCTGTATGCGCTCTAGTTTGTTCATCTGACTCTTTGAGACTGCAAGCAGTCACAGGCCATAATCAACCACTGACATGATCAGGTGCTGATACAGTGTGAAAAGCATTCTCTGCTCTGTGTCAATTGCAGCCATAGTCTTAAGTGCACTCTTTGTCCTTTTTGGCATCTTGTCACAACACTCTCCACATGGTCCTTAAAGAACAGGCTCCTGTCAAATGTAATTCCCAGATACCTCAGTTTTGCCCATCTATAAGTCTCGTCATTTCCAGGTAGGCAGTAATGTGAACAGTTTTGTTTCGTTTCAGTAACAAGACTACATTTTGAATCAACTCATGCACTGGATTCATTCAACACCACAACCTGGTAAGGAGAACATGCTGGGATCTGAAGCTTGTTGCACGCCCACCCATAGAAACCTTTCTCCCCGTCACAGATCTCTGCCCACCACCAATGCCAGGACCATGAAACCTGCATGACCGCAGCCGTCACAGCCACGCCAACAGCTGACAAACCTACCGTCACAGGGAATGACAGAATCACCAGTGGGCACACTGTTAATTTGTGAATAAAGGATTTCTCCTCACTGAAGTATGTGACCACATTGTACCACATGACTGCGCCGTTGTAGAAGGAAACACAGGCAGAAATAACCAAAGCCATGGGTATACACAAGAGTGACCACAGAATAATGTGCGGACCCTGAGCCCGCCCGCATTGGTACTTGTGGTCACCTTTTGATTCTGGTTCTCGGGATGTCAACCGCAGAAATTCATTCTCTGTTAATTCTATCTGCACCTGTAGGAAAGAGATACTCATTTACATACAATAAGAAAACATAGCGAGGAGGCATTTATTTTATGTAAAAAGCAAATGCAGATAATTAGTAAAAGACCCTATTACATGCCTTCAGGTAATTTTGGGCACATAGGGCTAGACCTAATTTTTTTATAGATCCATCGGCACTCAGCAAAGATGTGGTTAACATCACGCTGGCTGCTTTTACTTCCCGGTACTTTTACCTGGTACCCATTTAAGACCGGGTTGACCAGGAAAAAAGGCCATTTTATTTTTTTCAAAGAAAAAAACTTGATAATCTTGTTCATAACATTTGAAAGTATGCATCTTCCCAGTAGCAACACAGGGATGTGAGCCATGGACTATCAGTCCTTAACCCTATCAGACCGCTGGCCCGGTTTACCGGGGAATTCTGAACCAGTCTCTATACCGCTGGCCCTAATTGTCGGCTTTTTGCGTAGTACGGGAAAACGATGCGTCACTGACTAAAAAAAAACCACCCAATCGTTATCAGTCCTCTTTGTCAGACATTGCAAATGTCTGCCCGCATGTGCAGATTATATTTGTGTTGTTTTACGTGGAAAAATTATGAAAATTCACAACGAAACGAGCGGCTGATGAACCAAGTTCTAGGCTTTTCACAGTCCAACAGGTAATCGATACTTTGGTTTATTTACACTATGTGATATATATATATATATATATTTTCATTATCTGTGATAATTTCATAAAGAATACGTTCTTGAAGTGACACTGTCAGTGAGAGTGCGAATGATGAGGAAAATCTTGAAAATTATCAATCATGAAATAGATCGATAGTAGGAGGAGGGGGTGTGTCCATCAAACGGCAACATCTGGTGTTCACTTTGTGAAACAAAGTTGATCCTGATGAGTGAATTCGCACACAAAGGTGGAATATTGGCGCTAGATAAAAAGTAAGCCTATTTTCTACAATGTCTCCAAGTTTCATTATATTCTAGCCACTCGTTTGCATGTAACTAATATTTGTGTATATCATGTTGGTTTTTTCGCGAATGCCCAGGAGCTCAGGTTATAGGGACAGTTAGGTTGAGGGCCTCAGGTCTGGTAGGGTTAAGAAAGAAAATAGAGGCTTTTGAGCTGAAATGCTATAGGAAGATTATCAGAATACCATAGTCAAAGAAGAGAAGAAATATTGACATTTTAAAAGATCGAAACATCAAGGAAGATTTGCTAATAAACAGCATCTTGTCTCGTAAGCTTAAATATTTAGGTCATATCAAGTGGCAGGGTGAACTGGAAAAAAATAACAGCAGAAGGCGTGGTACCAGGAAAGAGGGAAAGAGGGCTGTGGCCAGCCAGCAGGAAGACTGGCACGGGATATAAGTGACTCCTTGAATATGAAAGTACAGAAGGCAAAAGAGCTGGCGAGAGACCGAGTTTCTTTCAGACAGACTGGGATGAGAGCGATGTTCTGCAAAAGACCAGCTACATGATGATGTTGATAACAGTGAAGTTTCTTCCAACAAACTTTATTTTCAGAAGGTCAAAAACTAGGCATACAGGCTAGTATTACAACTGTCCTTCCAACCACTCATTTTTTACACAGCAACTGTATTTTATGTATAATGTGTTTACAAAAAGCCCAAACAAAATAAGGAACTCTAAAAACTACACTTTCAATTCTAACATATACCAGGAAAAAACTGGTGAATATTTAAAAACATGATTAGAAAAAATGCATTTAATAAATGCCTGAAAAAAACAACAACTGATGAACATTCTTCTTTTTCACACTGGCCAGCTGTGAACTCAGACGTAAAGTTCTTGTTGTTTGCCCACTTCTAAACTTTAGACTTGTTTAACAAGCTTTCCTCCGAAGTCGGAGTACATCTGCCGGAGAGGCGGGGAACGAGTACTGCAAACAAATAAGCCAGTAAAACAGATGTACACGCAAAACTCAGGTCAAGGTAAAAGCCAAAAGTCCATTTTGGACGAACAACCGTGACTTACCGCCGGAATTCACAGCCGGTGAACAAGAAGAAGAAGAAGAAGTTCCACAAGCTGAGTGTTGCATGCATATATGTTTACCCATCTAATTTGTATGCAGACTGCTGGTTCTTTGCCTCAGGCAGATACACTCCGACTTTGAAGGAAGCCCTCAATCAGTCGACTCTTGTGACATATTTGTTGAGGAGGCAGTGGGTCTATTTTTAGTTTCCTCATAACAGGGACCCGGAACCCACGCAGCTGCCAACTAACAGACAGCTAGAATTAAACCAGGTACACCGGAATAAAGAAGTGTGTTTGCAATGCACAGAAAAGAAGGAAATTAGAGTCAAAATGTACAGAAGACAGTCAAATACAGAAACTACTGCTACACATACCTCAACCGGCTGTCCCACACTGTTCCCTGTTTTCACTGTCCCGGTCATTGTGACACACTGGCTGTCCCTGGTAGATCCTGGTCGCCGTCTACTTTTAGGTATCCCACCAGAAATTCTGGCTTTCTCTTGAGACGAAGCAGAGTGATCATCATTCGCTTCAGCCTCTGAGTAAATGAGAGGTGTTAGTGGAGGGTCTGTGGCTGTTGCTCCCCGAGATGTGGTAGGCACACACGTGTCATTGCTATCATTGTCATATTCAAGAAGTACGACTGATGATAGCTTTGCTGGCATTAATGGAACCAGCTGTTCAGAAATTTCACACATCTCAATGGTCATCTTTGTCTGTTGCTTGTTTGTATCCTCCATTTTGTGTGTGATTGATGCTGAATCTTTGAACCCAATTCACCACTTTCACTATCACTATTTTTAAGTTAACACTGTTTTGCTGTCCATAATGTTACCTCCTCTTAGCACTATTTGACTTTGCAAAATCCAGCCTGAAATGTTTGGAACAAGGTTTTCTTGGTTGCGTGGAGTTATTATTTAGGCTCTCACCATCTGTGGCAGTTTCACTTTGTCTTGTTGCAGAGTTGAAGATATGCGTGATCCCAACAGCATCCTTAAGACAAAACAACAAACAAAACTATCAAATGGAAAACATTTTTCTGAAACTCTTTGAGTCCCACAAGGTCCTAGCTAATCTCAGAAGGCGTTACATATGGCAATCCTTAACTCATGGGCGTACTTTTTTCAGAGGGGCTAAATATACAATCCTTGCATAAAACAAATATGTTTCCAGATATCTTTAGAGTTTCTCACTAAAGTTTGGATGTGAAAACAAACATAACATGTTGAATGACCCCTGTGAATAATACCCAGTTGTGTAAACTGTGTTGCCTGGGACAGAAAGATTTAAAATAACAACAGTTCAGATAAAATCAACCGTTAGTTTCTCAAAATGTAACAGTGCAGACAGAGAAGTGGGATCCACAACAGCATTGTGGCTAGAGGACTGTCTGCTGACCTGAAGATCTTAGGTTCCAATCTATACTTAGGCAGATTTTTATAACTGACCTATGCTCCCATGATGACACTGGCCTCATCGCTCATGGAGTGAGACTGATCTATAAAAATACAAAATATGGAAAAAAAGATGTTAATTATAACTTCATATTTTTTTAAGCTAGGTTATGGCTAGGTTAAGCTAATTTATGGCTAGAGAATGACCAAAAAGGATGCACACAAGCTGTCTACCTTCCACCACACATGTCTACGTAGAATTATCAAAATTTTCTGGCCAGATACAATCTCAAACACTAAACTACTTCAAGTCACAAACCAAGAAACTTTAGACAATATAATAACCAAAAGAAGATGGAAATGGCTTGGCCACGTTATGAGAATGAATTCTGATATACCTGCCAAAACAGATGGACACTAGAGGGAAAGAGAAAACAGGGGTTCCCAAAAACAACATGGAGAAGAACGATGGAAAGTGACCTGAGTGCTGCATCTTTGATATGGAAAACTGCACTGAAGATTGCACAGGACAGGAAAGCATGGAAAGTCCTCTCTGAAGTCTCATGTGCCACTAGGCACAACGAGAACTGATATATATATATATATATATATATATATATATATATATATATATATATATATATATATATATATATATATATATATATATATATATATATAATTTATAGCCAGTCACTAAAGAGACAGATGTTGAACATAACATAGGATGCATTTTTCTTTGTCTCCATGTTCTCTGGCTGTAAACTCTGGCAGAAAGTTCTAGGTGTCTGGCCAACTCTGGACTTAAGTCTTCTTCCAGAACCTGAGTTTTGTGTGCACATCCATTTTACATATCTGGCTTATTTGTATGCAGACTGTTGGTATCTTGCCTCTCAGGCAGATGTTCTCTGACTTCAAAGGATGCCCCCAGTCAGTCGACTACAGCAACATGCTCGTTGGGTTGATTCCTGTTTTCCCCCCAACGGGACCCAGGAACCCACATGGGAAGAATGAATTCAACATGGGTGAATAAATAAGAAAAAATGTCTGGGCAACCAATGGTAACAAGAGTAAAATGCTGTATTGGACACATCCTGAGAAAAATCAAGCAGAGAATCACCAAACAGGCCCTAAGATGGGAAATAAAGGGACCGAGAAAACGAGAAAAGAAACCCTAAAATGAAAGTTGATCAGAGAGGCCAAAGGTGCTGGACTGGATTCCACAAGATATTGAAGAGATTGCACAAGACAGAATCAAATGGAGGAATAGACAGTGAGCCCTATGTGACATATGATGGTAAACAAAGACAATAATGAGGATGAATAAGCAGACAGAGAAGTGGCTGGTAAAACTGCTAAGAAAACTGGACTCTTATGTGAGAGACTAAGGTTCAAATTCTAAGGTTGGGACTGTTATTTGTTGTCACCAATAATCTATTACAGACAACACAGTCTGTTACAGAAAACAGAATCTATTACACACACACACACACACACATATATATATATATATATATGTATATACAACAGGCGCGCTTCTGTGTCATCATAAAAATCAATCTATCACAGACAATGTATGGATAATATATTACAGACAATCTAATACAGACAATCTATTACAGACAACACAATCTATTACAGACATTCTATTACAGTGCACCTTCATTAACTATACTACAGACAAGACAACATATAGAAAAATGTACAGATAATATACTACAGACATGGGCGCATGCAGGAAGGGGGGTGTGGGGGCAAGGGGGGCATAAAAAACCATTTTGATACAGCTGCTGGAAATGCACATTACACATCACACCGAACGCAGAATGATTTGATCAATTTGTCTGAACAAGCTCTGCGAGAAGACATTGTAAAAGCTGCTAACAATGCTGTTGGATTCTCGATCATAGCCGATGAAACAGCAAATATCTTAGGAACAGAACAGTTATCACTGGGAGTCCGGTTTGTAGATACGTCTAGTGAGAAGGCTATGATTCGTGAGGAATTCCTTGGATTGTATCCGCTGAAAGGTATGGACGGCGCCACGATATCTGAATGTATTATTCAACATTGCAAAACATTTGGTCTTCTGCTTAATAATCTGCTGGGTCAAGGTTATGATAGGTGCTCGACAATGGCCGGAAAAGAAAATGGTGTTCAGGCAATAATTCAGTTTTTACCCCAAGACTGCCTTTGTTCACTGTGCCTCGCACAGACTGAATCTCGTAGTAAATGATCTTAATAATGTTGCAGTGATACGAAATACTATTGGTACTATCAAAGCAATTATTAAATTTTTTCGCGAAAGCTCTAAAAGGAGGTCCTCTGTCCCAAATATTCCTCTTCTGTGTGAGACAAGATGGACAAGCAAGCACAAAAGTGTTGGGATTTTGTCTAGTAAATTTGAAGATATTTATTGTCAACTGGAAGAATTTTCATTGCATGAAAGTGGAAATACACGACAGGCTGCACATTAGTTACATTGTTCATCAAAGTCCAGCTCATTTTTATTTTGTCTCAATATTATTTCGCAGTACTCTGCCATACTGGAACCAGTTACTCAGGCTCTTCAAGCTGTTCAAGTTGATCTTCCAGAAGTCCAACTGCAAGTTCAAAACCTGCTCAGTGTAGTAAAACTTCACCGAGGTGATTCCGATAACTATTTCAGGGATATTTTTGAGAAAACAGTACAACTCGCACAGAAAGTGGATATTGAACTGATTATGATTATCCCAAGACAGTGTGGAAGACAAAAAGCATCGAAGTAATCCGGGAATCATAAGTGTTAAAGAGTACTTCAGACAAACAGTTTACATTCCATACTTAGATTCTCTAATTAACTCAATGGAGAGTAGATTTTGTGAAGCCAACAGTGCACAATTTAACTTAGCGTTGCTACATCCTTCAAAATTGTGCAAACTGAATCGTCAACAGTTTAAGGATATAATGTCTACTATTAATCAGGTATACCACATTGATAATTTTGAAACTGAAGCCTTGAGTTGGTTTGATTTTTGGAAAACGCGAGAATACAAAAGATTTAATTGACTTGTTACCTTTTACAAAGTTTTATCGTAGTGTCAGGTATGCCTTACTAGTTTTGCTAACCTTACCAGCAACAACATGTACGGTGGAGCGATCGTTCAGCATATTACGTCGTCTAAAAACATGGCTTAGATCTACAATGTCAGATGAACGTCTGTCTGGATTGTGCATGTTAAGCGTACACAAAGACAAAGAGAACTGCAACAAAAAAGACTTATGGACAAAATTGTAGATATGTTTTGCAGCGATAACAGACGACTTCAGTTCTTGTTTAAAGAATCAATTTTATTGTAAATTTATGTTGTAATATATTTTGTTATTTATATATAGTGTGTTAAAAAAATTTGTTGCTACAGTATGCCCTTCATTACTACAGTATCCTGTCCGTTCGTTCACCATACAAATACTAAAACATTACTAAAAATATTCCCCCTTAGAAAATGTTATGCGGGCGCCCATGACTACAGACAACACAATCTATTACAGACAATCTATGGATTATCTATTACAGACAACACCATAATCATAATCTATTACAGAAAACAGATAATCTACATATTATTAGTACAGACAACACAGTATATTACAGACACTTAACTAGTACTACAGAAAACAGCATTTATTACACACAATCTACTACAGAGAACACAATTTATTACAGACAAACTATTAAAGATCTACTAACTACAGACAACAATAATGGAAACTGGCCTCCTGTAGAGTGTAGTCAGTGTAGATATCCTCAACCGTGAGCAGCAGCAGACAGCATAACAAATGTTCGCACTCACAGGCGCTCTTCTGTGTCGGCACAAAAATCATTGTATTACATAAAAATCCACACATAATCTATCACAGACAACACAGTCTACAATACAGATAACACAGTATTACAGACAACAACTGGACAACGTTTTACTGTACAACGGCGACCAGGAGCAAGCAACAGACAGCAAATGTCGGCATACACAACAGGCGCTCTTCTGTGTCGTAGAAAAATATCACCGTCAAAGAACTAGCTAGCTTGCCAGTCAAACATAATCACCAATGATTAACTTTACTAATTCAAAGTCTTCATCAGCGCACACAAAAAAAAAAAATCAGGACAATGATTCAAGTACATAATTAAACTTGAACTTTTCAAGAATAAGTAAAAACGAAATCACCTGAAATTGTTGCTCTCCTGTGTGGTGAGATTACAACTGTGGCAATGTTTACGGCAGTGTTGCCACTTTAGATGTTTTACATACAGATTTAGATGTTTTCCCTTGTATTTAGATGTTTTTATAAGGAGTAGAAAATTA